AGTGCCGGACCCCAGCACACAGAAGCCGAGACGGTGAGCGCAGCGCCGGGGCCGGGCTGGGGCCGGACTGGGCGAGAACCGGGCGTCCACTCCGCTCCCGTCGCCTTCCTTTCCCTGCTCGGACGCGCGAGCTCCCCACGCGGCGGTGCAGCCCGGGGCCGCCGTGACAGGAGGGCTTCGGGGACTCGGCTCGCCGAAGGACCGCCGCGGGCCCTCCCTCCTTCCCTTTAACCGGCTCTGGAGGGCTGGAAGGAGGTTAGAACCCAGCTGTTGGCGAGGGCGTGTGGCTAAGAATAAAACGATCTTCTTGGGGGCACAAAGCCACCTGCTCCTGCCCCATCAGCTAGAAGGACGGGCTATTGCCCTGGGGTTGGTGGTTCAGACCCCACTGTGGAGGCTAACCCAGATGTGGCAATCCTTGTCTTGCACGCTGTGGTGATCGGCGTTCTAACCACTCTAGGGACTTTTCTGCTCTCCTGGTGATGCAATTTGTAACATTCTAAAAAAAAAAAAAAAAAAAGAATTATTAAGGCACGGAAAACTAGTGTTTGATTTTATGTTTGGGATACACTTACTGAAGTTTGCATAGAGTTAATTGGAAACTACTGTGAGTGGCATTTAAAAAAAAAAACTGATTTGAGAATAAGTTTAGATACACAGAAAATGACCGCGTGTGACATTCTAAATATAAACTTTGGAAAGCTGTCATACCTTTGTTTGGGGGACCCAGGAGGATTACAAAGTACCCTGAAAGATAGGGTCTTTTACTAACCAAGAGTGAATTAAAGTAACCTGGCCAGTCTTAGCTAAAGTGAAAACTAAGCCTTCTGCTAAGCCTAGACTTTGTTGCTCTAGACTTTGTTGCTGATCCCTTTATTTAGTCCTTACCTGACAAATTTTGGAGATTTACATAAAGTAATAGTTAGTAAATTCTCTGGGGGAGATGGAGTTCTGAGGATTGAATCCAGGGCCTTATCACATATAAGGCAAGCATTCTGCCAGCAAGCCAGGCTCGCCACCAGGTTAGAAAACTGTAAGGTCTGTTTGCTACGTTTGAAAATAAAATCTCCTCTTTCCTTTTCCATCCTTCCCCAATATTTGACTTCACTTGTCCCTTCCCACATGGCAACAAGACTACTGTTACTGGAAAACCAGGGACTTTTTAAATTACCATAGTCAAAGCCCATCTCTCTAGATTTTCAATATTTTGACTGGTATTTGTATGCCTCAAACACACAAATTAAGAGCCTGCTTTGAAGTTAGACCCTGATTTGAATTCAGGCTTCCCCTTCTTAATTGACTTGGACAGATGAGGGAATGCTGACGCTTTCTAAGTAAAATGAAGTGCTGGCTAGGGATGTAATGAGTTTTTGAGTGAGAACTACAAAGTATGGACCCCAGTCCATGCTCAGTAAAGGGTAGTCTTGACTTCCGTAGGTTAGGTGGGAATACCCCTTGGCCTTGTCACAGTGACCTCCTGGAAAAGGTGATTGAGAGTATAGGAATTTAAAGCTGGAAGGCTCCTTCTGGATCATCTAGGTAGGTCAAGCTTCCACGTTTTACAGTCACCATTGTAGAGCTGGGACTGGAACACTTGGATTCACTGTGCATAGATCAACAACATAGTTTTTTCACCATTTCAAAATGATGCTCCAGTGTCACCATGATGAATATACAAACTGAAAAGAAAGTGACAGTCCTTGTTACTGCTCAACTTCATGTGCGCTTGAAACTAAAAAAGTGCTTTGTTTTTCTAAGAGTGAGTTTACTGAGTTACAGTGTGATCAAAAACTAGTTCTGATTCTATGAGGAAGTATGGCAAGGACCCATGGGTGATTAATTTAGAAGGATTTATAGAGCATCAGTGAGTGCATGGTGTAGTATTAGATGCTTTAATTGTGATATTTGATTTGGCCTAGATGTTTGACGTACAAGGGCTTTGAACCTTTTAACTTATATATCACCATCTACTATTAATGTAAGTTCTTCCATCTCTGCAAAATTGAATTGTATCTTCTCCAAAGGGTTCTCCATCCTGCTTTTTCATAGCTTGTTCTTCAGACCTGTCATTATTTTTTTTCTCTAGTATGCACCCCTAATTTCTTTGCCCAAGAAACTGCAAATGATGTCCTTCAACATAGAACAGCAATTGCTTTGTAACTAGGTGAACAAGTCTTGTTCTTCCTACCGTTTATATGTACCCCAGCTCCTCTGCTTTCTTATCACATATATTATTATCCTTTAAAGTCTCTTTTTGGTTCAAGGGTCAGTTGTATCTCAAGGTTTTTTCCCCCTAGTAATATATGCACCATAAAATTGTTTTTCAGACTTTTCACTCAACTAATTCCCAATCCCCCATAAACATTTTTTAAATTAGTTAGAGTTATATTTCAAATAAACCACAGATATTACCGTCAGAGCAACTTACAAATAGTAGGTTTAAAGAAATAAATGCCATTTTATTCCTTTAGGGACCACAGTTGTTGAACAATTGAAGTCTCTTGTGTCAGACATTTTACTTGGAGACTTTTCCAATGTTCTGCTAGTTAGCTGTTTTCCTGCCTTTACTTTTTTCTTCCTTTCTTGTGGGTGTAGGGGAGTGGGGGGTTGTTTGGGTGCTAGAAATTGACCCTGGGGGTAAGATACAGCTCAGCCCATGCTTAATATCTTCTGAATGTGGAAGAACTGTATTGCTGATGGTGCTGCACCGTGCCTAGCCTCAGCTGAGAGTGACTGGACTTGTGTTAGATGTTCTGTGTTGGTGTCACAGGATCGTCAGCATGTTTGTGACATGAGGGCATTTTTAATCTTGAATTCTACCCACATGACACTTTGTATTTTAAAGTCTAGTAACTTTTTAATATGGTTTCTTCTTTTTTCCCTTAAGGTAGAGAAAGACATTGATGTCTGATGACTGAACCTCTTTCACCTTGGCTTTGCCCAGACATTCTTTTGGTTTTTTGTTTTTGTTTTTGTTTTTGTTTTTTTGATTTTTAAATTATTTCTTTTATTATTTTTTTATTTTACTTAGAAAGAAAATTATTTTACATGTCAATCCCAGGTCTCCCTCCCCTCCTCCCCTGTGCCCACACATTCTTGTGAATGCTCACGTGTTATTAATTTTACTTCTCCTGTTCAACTGGTACTCATTTTAAAAGGCAGTTTCTTGAAACCTCATAAGAAATATGAATATATTTGATGATAAATCGTAGGAATGCTTGTTTTCAAGTTATATCTCATCATGAAAGTGGCTGACAGAAGGAAGCTAAGCGTGACTGTTCTGCTGCACGTGTCTCTTTGGATTTGATGATGAACTGGCTCAGCAAGCAGAAAGGCTAGCAGCTAGACACTGGTGTACATTCTTTTAATTAAGTCCTTAAGTGAGAAATGAGATTTTAAATGTAGAGTTTTGGGCAGACCAGTGGCTCAGCAGGTAAATCACCTGCCATGCAAGCCTGACGACAACCTTCCATCCCCAGAACCCACAAAAAGGTGGAAGAAGAGAACCAGCCTGACAAAGTTGTCCTCTGACCTCTCTGCACGAACACCATGGTGTGAGAGCACACTCTTACATCAACCCCCCACACACACACACACATGTACACGCCCCCCATACACACTAAAACAGTTTTGAGTTTACAGTTTGGGTTGATGAAGCACATTTTCTGAGTGTGTGACTGAGCACATTGTAGTGTTAGTGTGTGTGCTCTGAAACTCCTCTTGGAGTTGCCGATACACAGTTTACGTTTGTAACTAGGTTGGTGTCTTTTTTTTTTTTTAAGTTTTTATTTTATTATGTATACAACATTCTGCTTCCATGTATATCTGCACACCAGAAGAGGGCATCAGATCTCATAACAGATGGATGGATGGTTGTGAGCCACAATGTGGTTGCGGAGAATTGAACTCAGGACCTCTGGAAGAGCAGTCAGTGCTCTTAACCTCTAAGCCATCTCTCCAGCCCCTAGGTCGGTGTCTTAATTGTAATGTTTTCTCTATTGACTTTACTTGCAGTAGGAATATCAGAGAAAACAGGAAGTTATTTGCCTCTGATGACTTTTATGTCCAAGCAAAGTGTCTTTTTGATTTGTTTGTATTAAACATTCCTTCCGGTTTTGAAGGTTACTTATATTAATTATTTAGTTCCCTTAAAAGAATCACTTAAAATTTATATGCCCTAATATTACCAAGGTGTGTTCCAAGGAACATTAGTCCTTATGATGTCGTAGAAAACAGTTTGTTACCAAAGAAGTGTGTTGTCTTATGGTCACAAAAGAAAACAGGAAAACCCTCCTATGTGGAGATATAAATGGTGCTGTTTCTACCATTTTCTGTCTAGACCCTGTGTGTACACATGTATCTGCTTGTGGCTTCCGGGACCTTCGTCTAGTATTTTGGGAAATGTACATAGGGAAAATTGTTTTACTGGGATCTAAGTATATATAATATGCTTACCTAGTTTCTGTTTTTCTAGAGTTCTCGGAGATCAGTGGCTCTGTACCTAAAAGAATAAGTCCTGCCGGGCATTGGTGGCGCACGCCTTTAATCCCAGCACTCGGGAGTCAGAGGCAGGTGGATTTCTGTGAGTTCGAGGCCAGCTTGGTCCCCAGAGCGAGTGCCAGGGTAGGCTCCTAAGCTACACAGAGAAACCTTGTCTCGAAAAAAAACCAAAAAAAAAAAAAAGTCCTGAAACCGTATTTCCTGGGAATAATTACAGTCTTCCTGACCTGAATTATCTCCTAGCAAAGAAGACACCAATTCATTTTTAGGGCTTTCTGTTTGTTTGCTTGTTTTTGAGCCAGGGTCTGCTTTGTAACCTAAGCTAGCCTTGAACTTAGAGTCCTAGTGCTTCAGCCCCAGTCCTTGCCACGCCCAGCTTAGAAATTCTCTATATAAAAATGTTATGCTGACTCTTTGTTTAGCTGTTCCGAATATCATGGGAAAGAAAAGCTTGTTTTTATACCCAAGAAGTACTGTAAACAGTCCCTGTATAAAGTGCTAATCACCTTTAATTTGAAAACTTTTACAGTGTT